CTGTGGCTAACAGCATAGCAGCAGCAGATATTCTTCTCAGAGATGGAGGCCTGTGTGTTCCAGTCTGCTGATGGCCTCAGGCTCCCCGCTGTATCAAAGCCTCCCCTTCCTCAGCCTCCTGCTGCTGTAGATGTGTTTTATAAAGAGGCTGATGGCTGCAGGGCCTTTAGTCATCCTGAGCAGAAGAACACTAACTAGGAGCAGAGAGAAGCAATATGCTGCTGCAACACACACTTCATTTAGTAAAACACACTCACCTCTTTATTCAGTAAAACACACAGTAGTTTGCAGTAACAGCAGCTCTGTGTTCATTAACAGTAACGACGAACATCAGTCTGACCTCCAGCTCAAAGTTCAGTGTCTGAATATCTGAACCGTTACTGCTGTTCGTGTTACTACTGCTGCTGCTACTGTTACTGGTACTACTACTACTGGTACTGGTACTACTACTACTGGTACTGGTACTACTACTACTGGTACTGGTACTACTACTACTGCTACTGTTACTACTGTTACTGCTACGACTGTTACCGTTACTACTACTGCTGGTACCGTTACTATTGCTACTGCTACTGTTACTACTGTTACGTTACTACTGCTACTACTACTACTACTACTAATGTTTCTAGTACTACTACTACTGTTACTAGTAGTACTACTAATACTGTTACTAGTACTACTACTACTACTAGGAAAAGAATCCTTCACATCAATGGGTTCAGTAGTTGTAGAAGCTTCAGTTGTGAAGAAGAAACGTCTTCAGGAACCTAAAGGAGAAGTCCAGCTGCTCTGCTGGAGCTCTGAGCATCGTCACCACCTGCTGATGATGGATTACTTCATACAGCTTGGAGACGCATCTGGAAACATCTGCAGCAGCTCCTAGTGTCCAGTGTCTCCAGCAGACGTACCTGGAAGTCTTCAGGCAGCAGCAGTTTGCAGGTTCTCAGGAAGCTGAGGATGTAACGGAAGATGTCTCCGTCTCTGTCGATGAAGTAATGCTGCTTCAGACTGTCCAGCACGATGGGCTCGGTGCCGCTGAACAGCCGGCCGATCCTGCAGACACACATCATCACTGATCAGAGGCTGGAAGACCAGAGCTGCAGCAGCTCACAGCTCAGCGTTCAGGCTTGGTTTGATTTGCCATCGATTCCCATCTGGTTTGATGTCTTATCAGCAGGAACAGTGAGATGGTTTACAGGAATCAATCCAGTGAAGGCGACAGACTGAGGTCTGTCTTCACTTTGATCTGTTTCCTATAAAACGACAGCAGCAGTGAAACTATCCGACACCAAGATGTTCCTCTTCTACACTAAATGATGTGAATGTGGTTCTGATTGGAGCAGCTGCTGCGTCTTTATGAACCTTGCGTTGGCTTGAATCAGGACTCACCTGGACTCGGGGAACTTGGTGAGCGTGGCCAGGCTGCTGGTGTACATGTGTCCTCCCACGTCGATGTGCACCGGAGCGTTGGCCTTGGTGAGCTGAGCCGGCGACGGGATGCCCTGAGCGCTCAGAGGCGACACAGGTGAGCGGCTCAGAGACATCCTGGACATGCTCCGCCCCTCCTGCCCAGGTAAGCACAGGTAAGGACGGGTCAGGACACTGACAGGCTCAGTCAGACGCCACAGAAAGACGTAAAACACTCAAACCAGACACAAGAACCTTCTGTGATTTGTTTGAAGCAGCTGGTTCTGTCTCTGATCCACATTGTTTCTGATGTTCTGACCTTTCAGAGATCAACCAGCTGATCGACTGATCCACACAACAACAAACTGCAACGTTAACGCTGCAGCTCTGTCATGAAAACGTTTCACTGCAACAAACTGGTCCTTCTGTGATTCCTTCAGTATCTGGAGATCAGAACCAGACCAACCCAGAAGGTTCTGCATGTCTGTATTGAGCTCCAGCTGAGTGCTGCTCAGAGCGCTTCACAGTGTTCGTCCATCCGCACACGGTGGCAGCAGAGCTTCCTGTCTGTGGATGAAACGAGCTCTAGAAATAAAACGGACTGGGCCGCCGCTATAGCTCAGCTGGCTGAGCTGGCGACCCGTGTTGGGGCTATAGTCTCCGACGCAGCGCTCGTGGGTTCGAATCCAGCTCGTGGATCTATCCCCCATTCTCCTCCTCAGTGTCCTGTCTCTCTACTGTCCTGTCAAGTAAAGGCCAAAAAACAACCTTCAAAAGTAAATAAATGTATTTATATTGTTGTTTAGCTGCTGCCTTCAGGTTCAGGTCCTGCTCAGGGAAACGTGGGCGCTGTGGGCGGAGCCTTGAGCCAGGTGAACATCTTTAAGGTGACTTTTTATTTAAAACTTGAAACCATGAAATCTGTCCTGTTATAAATCAAAATAACTTCTATTGAAAGCAGTTTCATTTCTGATGTTGAATAATAATAATGACAATAATAATGATAATGAT